CAATAGTCACATTAAATCTGTAACTTCAGCGGCTTTCTACCATCTAAAGAACATTTCTAGAATTAGGGGCATAATGTCTAAGGCAGACTTAGAGATTGTCATTCATGCCTTTGTTTCTAGTAGGTTAGACTACTGCAACGGCCTTCTCTCTGGTCTGTCCAAAGGAGCTGTAAAGCAGCTACAGTATATTCAAAATGCTGCAGCTCGAGTCCTGACAGGAACCAGGAAGTACGACCACATTAGTCCAGTCCTCAGGTCTCTGCACTGGCTTCCTGTGGCTCAGAGAATAGATTTTAAATCAGCTCTCCTTGTATATAAGTCTCTCTGTGGTCTCGCACCAAAATACATATGCAACATGCTGGTACCGTACGAGCCCGCTCGAACTCTGAGGAGCGCGGGGACTGGCCTCCTGTTGGTGCCCAGAGTCGGGACTAGACATGGGAAGGCAGCGTTCCAGACCTATGCACCTAGAATCTGGAACAGTCTTCCCGAAGGTGTGAGACAGGCTCCTTCTTTAGCTATGTTCAAGTCCAGGCTGAAAACGGTCCTTTTCAGCCGTGCCTACGACTGATCATCAAGAAATCATATCATAAATTTAATTTTGATGTATATATTTATTCATTTTCTTAAACTGTCTTTTGTATTTGTTTTTACAGTCTGTTTTTAAATTGTTTATAAATTGCTTTTAAATGTTGCCGATGTGAAGCACTTTGGGTTGCATTCTGTATGAACTGTGCTATAGAAATAAACATTGATTGATTGATTGATAGAAAAAGACTTATGATACTTGTTTCAAAGTTTCATAATATTTTATTTTTAGTGAATGAATTTACTTACTAAACACTAAACATAGTAACACAGTGATAGCTGACATAGAGTGAAAGTCCTGCTGTGCAGAGAGGACTCAAAGTTTTTATGAAGCTTTTATCAGCTTTTTCCTCTAAAACCAATCCCTCAAACTGATGGTGTTTGGAGAGGAGAGAGGAGTGTCTAAACGAGACCGTTTTTGTCTCCAGTGTTGGACTCCTATACCAGTTTTTTTATTGTGTGTCATGGATCCTCCATGGAGTTTTTGCTGGTTGAGTTATGATATACGTACTGCATATTCTGCATTATGTAACTTTCCCATGAAACACACAAATCGATTGTAAATTCCCAATACATATTTCAGAATAATAAAGGGTTGCTCAAATGCATCATTCGGTGCATTTGAGCACCGAATGATGCATTTGAGATGCAGAACCTCATTGAGATTCAGAACATCATTTTCAAGGGAGTTCTGGACAAAAGTTACATACAATTACAGATTATAAAAACAGTTAAGTTTCAATGAAGATGTCTCGAGTGCTTTCAATCTGGATCTAAAAGCATTCATTGAAATAAATTCAGATAATATCCGGTGTTTTTGCAACACATTCCATGTAGAAGGAGCAGCAAATACAAACACTTTTTTCCTTGTTCTGGATCATAGAGCAACGGATCATTTGATCCAAACCATATGAACATGTCTGTGTGAGTAAATGATCCAAACCATATGAACATGTCTGTGTGTGAGTAAATGATCCAAACCATATGAACATGTCTGTGTGTGAGTAAATGATCCAAACCATATGAACATGTCTGTGTGAGTAAACGACAGATGTAAGAGGGCAGCAGACCAAGCCTTACAAACAAAAGTGCACCAGTGTCCAAACCTTCTGTGGACAAAGATCCCACTCCAGAATATCACTCACAGTGAGTCAAGGCTTTGCAGTTCGTAATTGATCATTTTAATTGAATCATTATTTAAGTACAGTTTTTAGCTTTTTTCTATATTTCTATATATTTCACAGTTTCAACATTTTACACTGTTGAAACTGTGTAAAATGTTACAATGGCTGATAATATTAAATATTAGGGCTGGGACAACGCGTCGACGTAATCGGTGACGTCGACGCAAAAAATACGCCGACGTATAATATGCGCGTCGGTGTGTCACACACAAAACAAAGATGGCGGCGAGCGGTAGCAATGTGAGTGCCGTGTTAGAGAAGTGCAAGCCGGTGTAACGCTGAGATACACTGCCTTGAAGAGATGCACTGCCTCAGCTGTTTATGATGTAATGCAAACCTGCGCATGCGCGTCTCACGGCAGCCGAAGCAAACCAAGATGGCGGACCATGAATTTCTTTAAAAGTTAAAATACGAACGAATTCAGACACGAATGTCACTTTTAATGCAATTTGAGGCGATATGTTGATGGTTCCGTTTTGTCACATGTGGGTTTTAAGAGTCAAAGTTTCGTGCAAAGTTTAGTTTAAGCAGTCAACTGCGCCCGGGAAACCACAAAGCTAATGTTTTCATAGCAGTCCGCAGCTGCTGACGTAGGCTGATGACACGTCCTGTGGCAACTCTACACTCTTATGTAGCCATGACAGGCTGATGGCTCCCACTGTTTTTGCTGGAAAAGCACTCTTTGTTTAGCTTAAAGCCTTCAAGTTTACATTGGTTACTGTTTTCTTTTAGTTGCTCTACACAAGTATTTGGCTGAACTTTTTCATATTTTTATTGAATGCTAAGCATCAAATGTTTTTTTCAAGAATGATAAGATGCACTTTTTTCAGTAAGCTGTGTTTTCAAGGCTTTAAGGTTTTATGCTACCTCTAAGAATGTCTTATTTTTTAATTTTAAGAGCAAGCAATACATATTTTTTGTGAAGGAATTCATGTTTTTTTCATTAAAATATTTAAATCAACATGTATACATCAATATTAGTCAATTAATGGGGAGATAATCGAGAATCGAATCGAATCGAAATCGAATCAAAGCGAAAAAAATAATCGTTAGATTAATCGATGCATCGAAAAAATAATCGCTAGATTAATCGTTTAAAAAATAATCGTTTATCCCAGCCCTATTAAATATACTTCTTTAGGAAGCCTTGTTTTTGATGAAAACTTACAACGCTACTGTATAGTGTTGGTCATTTGTGGTGGTACTTGGAGAGGCAAGTATTTTCTGAGCTGGTACTTGGTGTAAAAATTTTGAGAACCACTGCTTTACGGAGATAAATAAACTGAACCATCCCCTTAATAAACATTACCATGGAAAACAAACACATATCATCTTTGAGCAAAGTGACAGTTAATGACAACATAAATAGAGTTAAAAATAACAACATAAAAGTGTTAGAACCATTGAGGCTAATTGGAGCCGGTGGCGTCTGAAATCTGCAGGTTTTTCTTTGTTGTGATTATTGTTTATGTCTGAGTGCTGCAGATTTACAAACACTAACTACAGAGGATTCCCCTGAGCCCTTCCCCCGTTCTCCTGTCAGTGATGAATTAGTCTTCTCTCCGCTCTCTCTTTGGAAGCTCAGGTTCAGAGCTGAGATGATTTATAACAGAAGAAAATATTGTGAAAAACGATACAGTAAAGACGCAGGAGGTGGAAGTTTTCCGGCTCCAAAAATGACCGCTGTCCAGAGCTTCTGAAGGATTTGGTTTTGTTTGTTTTCTCTGACTTTTTCCACTGAGAGTTTCTTTATTCTGCTTATTTGAAACTATTTCTATCCCAGCATTCAGAACTCTAACTCATCATAATAACTAGTGAAATAAGCATTTATTTCTTCATGTCGCGGTGATAAAGGCTCTTTCTGTCATGAGGCAGGAGTGAATATAAATAAATAAATCAAACCAAATCCAGGACAATAATCACACAAACATCCGGAGAAAAAACAGAGCAAGACATGACGAAAGCAAACAATGGGCAGACAGCAAGAGGACAGAAGCACAGGGACTGGATATACCGAAGCACAGGGACTGGATACACAGAAGCACAGGGACTGGATACACAGGAAGTAAAACTCAACCAGCTTTAATGTATGAAGATGTCAGGACATAGACCTGAGACCAGGACTAATGTAAGAGGACTTCAGGACAGAGACTAGAGACCAGGACTAATTTGAGAGGACTTCAAGACAGAGACTTGAGACCAGGACTAATGTGAGAGGACTTCAGGACAGAGACTTGAGACCAGGACTAATGTGAGAGGACTTCATGACAGAGACCTGAGACCAGGACTAATGTAAGAGGACTTCAGGACAGAGACCTGAGACCAGGACTAATGTGAGAGGACTTCAGGACAGAGACCTGAGACAAGGACTAATGTGAGAGGACTTCAGGACAGAGACCTGAGACCAGGACTAATGTGAGAGGACTTCAGGACAGAGACTTGAGACCAGGACTAATGTAAGAGGACTTCAGGACAGAGACTTGAGACCAGGACTAATGTGAGAGGACTTCAGGACAGAGACCTGAGACCAGGACTAATGAGAGAGGACTTCATGACCGAGACCTGAGACCAGGACTAATGTGAGAGGACTTCAGGACCGAGACCTGAGACCAGGACTAATGTGAGAGGACTTCAGGACCGAGACCTGAGACCAGTGAGCAGCTGTTAGAGGAGTCTAACCTGATGATTCATCTTGAACATTTCAACAGTAGCATGGAATAGATGCTTGAATCAAGTGGTTATTTGGAATCAGATCAGTGCTAACACTGGAGCAAAGGGAAGGCCGCAATCTAGAGGCCAATGTGTTTCCATTACTGCATAATTGTAAATAAACAGTTTGATTGAGCCTCAGTCCCTGGGAGCTGCATATTGCCCGCAGCCACACACACAAACACACACACACGCGCACACTCACATGTGGTATTTGTAAGGGCCAATTTAACGAAGTCAGCCACAAGGACGAAGCCGATCATTATGAAGGGCTTTCCAAGAGGCCTGCGGCAGCTGCCTACTGAATGTTTATGGAGGAGGTGAAGAGAACGCACAGCAAGCCAACAGAAATTCTTTTTAATAGGAGCAGAAATAGCCATATCTCCCCCACATCCTGCTTCCTGTCCGTTTGTCGGCTCCTGCACAGGTCACAGCGCTCAGCTCATGTTTCTATGCACAGAACCAGGAAGTCCTCATTTCCTGCACCAGCCTAAACTCATTAACGTGTTTGAGATCGCTCTATCCCAGCTCCTCTCTGCAGATAACGCGTTTATCTGTGAGAAGGTGCAGCTGCAGGAGGCTGCTCTGCTCCACAGACAGAGTGAGGACCAGAGCTGGAGCAAATTAACTCACAGAGATAATGGAACTAACAAGGGCGAAAGGTTTCAGATAGACACAGAGAAGACACATCCAACACGGATAAGGCCTGGACACAGACACACAGGGATAAGGCCTGGACACAGACACAAGGCCTGGACACAGACACACAGGGATAAGGCCTGGACACAGACACACAGGGATAAGGCCTGGACACAGACACACAGGGATAAGGCCTGGACACAGACACAAGGCCTGGACACAGACGCACAGGGATAAGGCCTGGACACAGACACAAGGCCTGGACACAGACACACAGGGATAAGGCCTGGACACAGACACACAGGGATAAGGCCTGGACACAGACTCACAGGGATAAGGCCTGGACACAGACACAAGACCTGGACACAGACGCACAGGGATAAGGCCTGGACACAGACACAAGGCCTGGACACAGACTCCCAGGGTTAAGACCTGGACACAGACACACAGGGATAAGACCTGGACACAGACACACAGGGATAAGACCTGGACACAGACACACAGGGATAAGACCTGGACACAGACACACAGGGATAAGACCTGGACACAGACACACAGGGATAAGACCTGGACACAGACACACAGGGATAAGACCTGGACACAGACACACAGGGATAAGGCCTGGACACAGACACACAGGGGTAAGACCTGGACACAGACACAAGACCTGGACACAGACACAAGGCCTGGACACAGACTCCCAGGGATAAGACCTGGACACAGACACACAGGGATAAGACCTGGACACAGACACACAGGGATAAGACCTGGACACAGACACACAGGGATAAGGCCTGGACACAGACACACAGGGATAAGACCTGGACACAGACTCACAGGGATAAGGCCTGGACACAGACTCACAGGGATAAGACCTGGACACAGACTCACAGGGATGAGGCCTGGACACAGACACACAGGGGTAAGACCTGGACACAGACTCACAGGGATAAGACCTGGACACAGACACACAGGGATAAGACCTGGAAATAGACACACAGGGATAAGGCCTGGACACAGACTTACAGGGATAAGGCCTGGACACAGACACACAGGGATAAGACCTGGACACAGACACACAGGGATAAGACCTGGACACAGACTGACACTACCTATAAATAAAACAAATCCGTAGTCTAAAAATGAATTTAAATAAACAGCCTAAGTTTGACAATAGCAAAATAAGAATGTATCATTTCTTAATAACTATAACAACTTCTTTCTTGTGAAGGTTTGCTGTCCTCGCCCCAAGCTACTGTCTATGCAAGGCTAGACTGCTATATAACGGTGCTCCAATAAACAGACTTCGTTCTTGTTCTTTGATTTATTGAATAATGGCCTCAACCATTGTCCTCTTAGATCAACCGTAAAACTGTAATAAAAAAAATTATGTGCGTTAGCTACTAGGTAACGTCCGGCTCTCCGCTATTACAGGCTAATGACATGCTAACAAGTAACTATGCTTAACACAAACAAAGGTTAATGAAAAATATACAATTTACACTACAAACACGCACAGAAATACAATTTCATACACACAATACTTACGGACAAATATTGTCCAAAGGCAACATGCTTTTTGTGGGGAAAATGCGCTTGGGATGCGAACTGTTCTGTGTCGCGTTCAGCCATCTTGAAATTCTCACGCACGGCTATCAAGATCACCCGAGGAATGGCACTTCGCGGCCAGAGGGGGGCACTATTTACAAAGCATTAACTTTCAATGGGCAGAACAGAAGGACTTCACATTGTGAATAAGTGGCTGCCTGTTAACAACCAAACAACAGTTACCTTTGTCATTAGGGGATTTTATTGGCCTTTATTGTTTGCAACATAAACATACCAAAACTCATTCAAATGAACTTGATGAAGGTGAGTTGGATCTGTTTTGCTCTTGACTTAGCGGTTGTTCTCCTGCTGCATGCTGTCGTATCTGACAGAGAACACACGGCGGCAAAAAGTACATTTATCTCTTACCACGCGTGTTGTGCTTCTCGCTCTCGTCTGTACTTCTGTAGTCGCTTTTGTTTCTTTCCAGAACCTTTCTGAGTTGAACGGGATGGGCTCTAGGATTCTGTCCAACATGCTCAGGTCGTTGATGATAATGATGATGTGGCTGCGCGGCGGCCCACGCTGCATCTTGTCAACATTAAGCCCATGGATGTGATTGAGCCTACGCCCTCATTTGACACTGATTGGCCGAAAGGTAGACGCTTAAACTGTGATTACTGCCTGTGTTGTGCATGTGATGTGCAGTGAGTGAGCGATGCAATTAAGGCGACTCGGAAAACAAAGGGATAAGGCACAAAAGCTGTCTCTTATCGATTCAATACAGGGCGCACATTTTTTTTTGTAATACAGGACAATTCTGCATATTAAGAACGGTTAGCATCCCTACATACAACTGAGGGATGTTGTCTTTGCTCTATTTAATGAATGCCTTTTGTTGTGCCTTTTTTTTTCAGCACTTCTGAGTTGCATTGTGTATGAACTGTGCTGTACAAATAATCTGGCCGTGCACATCCCGAGGCTTAGACTTACCTTTTTGGAGACATAATTCACACTATTTAACAGCTTCACAGCTGCTCTCTGTGACCACAGTGCAGCCGCTGACCAGTCCATTGTGAGACTTTGTGAAAAAAGTAAATTTGAAAATCTCGATTTAAGACGTTCCAGCGATTGTTGACATTCACTGTGTCACTTTGTGGAGTTTTCAACTTTAAAGCACTTTCACCGAAGCCTGAGTTTATTTCAAAAGTTCGACAGACTAAGAGTTAAATGAGGATTTGGTGCTTTGCATATTTCCACAAGTTATTTCAATAGTCATCATCAAAAAGTGGAGTGAGTGGTTTTCAGTTTCATTCACGCGTTTTTGAACAATTCTCTCCCAGGTAGAAGTTAAAAGCTTTTTGTATGAGCTTCCATTACACCCATCATGCTGAGGGAGGGGAGGGGGCGGAGGGGGCGGAGGGGGCGGAGGGGGAGGAAGTCTGTGCATGGGAGAGGGAGGGGGAGACAGTCCTGCAGTCAGAGACAAAAAACTAAAAATGTGTGTGTTGCGAGTGTAGCATTATTATACAAACAGGAAATCAAAGATTCTGCACATCAGAATCAGAATCCTTCTATTGCCATGTGAGTATTAGGAAGTCACAAACTAGGACATTTCTCCTGTCAGGTATTTAGGTTTACTAAACACAAGTGCACTAGGTGCACACACTAGATCGTTAAGAGTGTGGTAGAGTGCAGTAAAGTGACAGTAGCATAAAGTGACGGTCATAAGGGCAGAGGTCAGTGATGGTTTCTGAAGTGTTCATGAGTCCAACAGCAGAGGGGAAGACACTGTTCTTATGGCGGGAGGTTCTAGTCCTGATGGACTGTAGTCTCCTGCCCGAGGGGAGAGGTTTGAATAGTCCATTTGCAGGTGATAGGGGTCGGCTGTGACCAACCCGGCCTCGAGCTCGGGCATTGTACAGGTCCTGCAGCGATGGGAGGCTAGGGCCAATCACCTTCTCCGCAGAGCGCACGATGCGCTGTAGTCTCTGTTTGTCCCTGACTGTGGCTCCAGCGAACCACACGGTGATGGAGGAGGTGATGGAGGAGGGGATGATGGACTCGATGATGGCCGTGTAGAACTGCACCAACATCTGTGCAGGCAGCTTGGCTTTCCTGAGCTGCAGCAGGAAATAAATCATCTGCTGGGCCTTCTTGATGAGGGAGCTGATGGTCGGCTCCCACTTGAGGTCCTGGGTGATGGTGGTGCCCAGGAAACGGAAGGACTCCACAGAGGTGATGGGGGAGTCCATCACGGAGGGTGGGGGTGGGGGGACAGTGCTCTTCCTGAAGTCCACAATCATCTCCACTGTCTTCTGGGCGTTCAGCTCCAGGTTGTTACCACTGCACCAGGACACCAGCCGGTCCACCTCCCTCCTGTAGGCGGACTCATCGTTGTTGGAGATGAGTCCAATGAGGGTGGTGTCGTCCGCGAACTTGATGGCTAAACAGAGTCGTGGCTGGAGGTGCAGTGGTTGGTGTACAGGGAGAAGAGCAGGGGAGAAAGAACACAGCCCTGTGGGGCTCCTGTATTTATAATCCGAGAGTCCGAGATATTCTTCCCCAGACGCACTCGCTGCTTCCTGTCTGTCAGGAAGTCAGTGATCCACCTGCAAGGGGAATCAGGCACATTGAGCTGGGAGAGCTTGTCCTGAAGCAGGGATGGCAGGATGGTGTTGAAGGCGGAAATGAAGTCCAAGAACAGGACCCTGGCGTAGGTCCCCCAGGGAGTCCAGATGCTGCAAGATGGAGGGCCAGGTTTATGGCGTTGTCTACAGATCTGTTGGCACTGTAGGTAAACTGCAGGGGGTCCAGCTGGGCGGGTAGAGGACTTGAGATGAGAAAGGACCAGGTCATTAAGTCCAGTGATCCTGTATTTCTTTGGGACAGGGACAACAATGGCGGATTTGAAGCAGGCCGGGACATGGTAAGACTCCAGCGAAGTGTTGAAAATGTCAATGAAGACAGGAGTTAGAGCTCACTGGTGCAGTGTCCAAGAGTGGCAGGTGACACACGGTCGGGTGCGGGGACTTCACGGGGGTGCAGCCTCAAGAAGATGTGTTTGATATCTTCTGAAGCTATTGTCAGGGTGGAGGCAGAGCTGATGGGAGGGTCGTTAGAGCAGTGGGGGGTAGGGGAGGCTGAAAAACAGGTTCAGCTAGTCAGCCAGCTTGTGATCGTCAGTCCCGAGGGGGGCTTTGGGCTTGTAGTTTATAGTCTGAAATCTCCTGAAGGCCCCTCCAGACAGAAGCGGGGTTGTTGTTTACAAACTGCTTCTGTCGGCGTTCTCTGTGCTGGTGTTCTGTCGAGTAGAGCTGCCTCAGCTGCTTATGATGTAATGCAAACCTGCGTTTCACTGCACCCGAAGCAATCCAAGATGGCAGACATAAAGTCCGTGATTTGTGTAAAAAGTTTAAATACAAACGAATTAAGACACAAATGTCACTTTTAATGCAATTTGAGGCAAGATGTTGATGGTTTCATTTTGTGATGTGTGGATTTTAAGAGTCAAAGTTTCGTGTAAAGTTTGGTTTAAGTAGTCAACTGCTACTGTGTGATAGCAATACCTTTCCTGTTGAGTTGAGCTGTGGCATGCATCATTTTACTGAGGTAGGCCAATGACCCGTTCTGTGGCTAACTCGACAGCTAACAGACCGGTCGATAACCCGACTGGCCCGTCGGGTTGATGATAGAAATAATAACCAAACTCTGTTGGAAGCTATTAGCTGTCGAGTCATCGGCCTTGGCTGCTTTCAGTTTGTTCTTGAATTGATATATAGCCGCTATGTAGCCGCTGCAGTCTCACTCTCTGAAAGCGGACTCCTTTGCTTGTCTGAGCTGCCTGAGTTTAGCAACAGGTTTGTCGTTGTTATAGATGACCCTGGTCCTTGTTGGAATAATGCTATCCTCACAGAAGTGAATGTATGACGTCACAGTGTCTGTGTAGTCGTCCAAACTGTCTGTGGCAGCTCTGAAAATGTCCCAGTCCGTGGCTTCCATGCATGAGCGCAGATCCTCTACAGCCTCATCAGACCACACCTTGGAGTTCCTCACTAAAGGTTTCGAGAGCTTCAGTCTCTGTCTGTAAACAGGAATCAGTTGTATCATGGAGTGATGAGAGAAGCCTAGAGCTGCGCGAAAATCTCTGCGCACTGTTGTGTAACAGTGATCCAGAGTGTTTTCTGCTCTGGTCGGGCATGCGATGTCTGTGATGTCGAATCCTTATTAAAAACACAGTTGTTCCAGTGTACAGAGCCAGAGCACTCTTTCTTTGGTATTTAAGCCTAAACTCTCTTCCTGCTCTGGGCTTCTGTGTGTATCGTGTGTCCGCTCTCTGGGACAAAGATCCACTAAAGACACTGGTGCGTAGCAGGAGACAAGTGTTTGGCTCGTTCTGGTGCAGTGGTGGTTCCTCCACGGGAGAAACATGACAGTTCTGGTCAGAGAGCAGCAGGACGTGTCTGATGCACTTGTAGGATAACAAATAGTTGGAGAATTGTGCTAACCCAATGCTAGCTTGAATTGAGTAGAATAGCCTTTGTCTGCTTTCACAGATATGTGCTTGATTCTACAGAGTGAATTTGAAATTAGACTTTGTTTTAGAATGAAATAATATTACCTTGTAGAGCACCAGTCCGAATGGACACTAAATCTAATTACAAATGCACGTTTTGTTCAGTCTCATAATCTGCAGACATGTAATTCTAACCACCAGGGAATTCATAAACTATAAGCTAATAACTCAAGAGGCTGATAACGGATTTAGCTGTGGTTTATTGACTCAGAATGGCAGTTTCAAACACAGGACACTAAAATTGTGTGGGTCACCATCCAGTTATCAAATGTACACACCAAGTCCGACACAATAAGCACCACAGCAGTGTAAGCAGCTCCTTACTGATTGATGATTTGACGAAAGCACGGCGTGGTCGAAGGAGACGTCGTTCTCGTTCCCAGGAGTCTCATGTGGGAAAACACATGGTTTCTTTGTTCTTTGTTTCACCCGGGCTCAGGTTCGAGTGGTGGCAGGAAAGGGTCCTTTTAGTCCTGAATCGTCCTCTCGTTGGGCGTGATGCTAATGTAATCATATGTAATCAGAATGATGTAATCAGAATGATAGGGAGTTTGAGCTCCGAAGGACGAGGATAAAAGGGTGGATAGGGCAGACCTAGATCCCGATCGTGGATCTAACGTGAGGCCAGCTCAACGTGGGTCAAAGGGAGAGCGGATTGGACGAGGGAAGAGAGCGGGCTGAGCTTTTGCGGCCGCTTTTGAACGACCCGTCTGTGAGCGTGGCGTGGGTCTCCACTTCCGCACACGCACTTCCACAAAATGTTGTTGACATTTCCCTTTGTCTTGGTCCAGACTCGGTGACTTTTGTCCTTACAGTAATTCCATTATAGCAGAGGTGTGAAGTCTTTGCATTTAATTATTCAACAATAACTAACTTAAGGAACTTTTGTGTTTCACGTTTAATATTGCCGTATTTGGCTGCGGCCCACTCGCACATTTTCACATTGGCCCTTGTAAGCAAACGTTTGGGCACCCCTGTCCTAAGTGATCATTCTTAAGCATATTGTACATATCAT